TGAGCGGTTTTCTCTTCCTGCTCGACTTCCTCTTCCTCCTCGACTTCCTCTTCATGCCCGGCTTCCTTCTCATAGCCGACTTCCTCTTCCTGCTCAGATGCAGACCCTTCTACCCACTCGATATCCTCTTCTCGACCCGCAAAGAAACGGGTTCACTCCGTTGATCCGCTGTTTCTGGTTCCAGCTCAGCGTTTGTGCGTTCTTATCCTTGCCCAGAGCTTCCTTGAATCTGTTGAAATCTTCCTCGGTACGAACCTCGAACGCCTCTTCATTTTCCACCCCTTCTTCTTTCACCCCTTTTTTGGGCGTAATTCTGTGATACTTTTGCGGGTATTCCTTTTCATAGAAGTCTTGGAAAATTGTGCCATCCTCTCGTTTATCGTTACTCGATAGATTGGCTTCACTTATATAATCTTCTTCCTAGTCCTTATTACCCTTTACTTCCTCTTTATCGTCTAAATCAAATTCATCGACAAAGTCCTTATCGTCCTTATCATCCTCGTCGTAGTCATCGTCTGCATCTGCCCTGGTTCCTTTTCCACCGCCATTAGGAGCTGATTCCGAGTTACTGCTGGTGGCAAAGCTGTCCTTTTTTAATACTTTTCTCAAGTGCTTTCTATCTCCTTTATTACTTCCTTCGTAGCCTTCGGTATCGTCCTGGGAAACCGAGTCTACGTTAGCTTCCTCCATCTTGGGGTCGCAATAATAGGGCCGTCGCTCGTAGCTCTTCGTTGAATTTTCCAGACACAAGTCGGTCAAAGGCTGTGGCAGTACCGCTATCGACGCTGTCTTTAGGTACACCTTAGAGAAGACGTGCCCAACGTTGAGCTTTTCACGGCAAGATATTATGAGGATTTGCAGAACCGAATATGCTAAGCCTGAGATAATTGAACGTATAAGGAAGTTGAAGGAGGGTATCTCAAGGAGCTGGAGAGAGATTCCAGAGATCTGCAAGTATGGTGTGCAAGTTTTTCAATGATGACCGGGTAAGTCTGCTGATTTGGAATTGGTTGCCATCGACTTGGAGGGGGAGTTTCGAGATCTGAAGTCGCTGTGGAATTTTTCTTGAACGATTGCTAGTGATGAGAGATGAGCTGTAGGAGTGGATTGATGTGGTAGCCTATGTTACGACTCTTGTCGAGCTTGAAGCAGTCAAATCTCAAGACGTGTCAAGTGCTGTAGATGAGTTGATTGAAATGATAATAAGATAGTGGAGTGATGTTGTGTGGAAATGTTGGAGTGATTTTTTGTGGAAATGTTAGAAGGATATGATGTGGAAGTTGTAGAGTCATCTCAAGAGAGGTGATGGAGTGGGTGAGCATTGAAGCAATCGACTGCGTAAGCATTGAACCAATCGAGCGGGTAATCATAGTTGAGACGAACATTGAGCAAATAATCATGTGCCATCTGGTCAGAGGGAGGCTTATAGTTACCCTGTGGTCAAAGCACCTTCTGGTTGCGCCGCAACAAGCCGGGACCCCGCCATATTAGGCAGGAGTGATATTCCGCACCCTATGAGTCACTCATTTTTGCACATAAATCACTTGCCAGTTGTCCTACTCCCCACCAAAACAACCATTCCCTTTCGCTTCCTGTATCACTCCTTCACCCTTAGATCTCGTTTCCATTGCCAAAGCACAAAGACTTCAAAATCCCATCTTTACAACAGACGAGGTGGTTGATAGATACACAAAAGCCATGGCCGCACTCAAGCAAGAAAGTGATGAGAGTCTTGCGGCTAACATTGAAGGGAGGGTAAAGCAAGAATTCATAAACGCTCTCAAACTCCACGATGACGGTATCCGTCAGACCAAGTCGCTTCTACGTTCCAGTGCCACCAGTAGTAGGCCAGCCAAGACTGCCAGCTTGCTGAACACCCTAGAAGCCCTACAAGATGAGATTCCGAAAACCGAGGAACAAGATCCCCAGGAGGATATGGATATGGATATAGATCATTCGGAGCCGCCCGAAGATGTTGATGAGGTGGAGCAAAATTTTGTTCTGCTAGAGGAAGCGGGTCAAGATGAGCAAGAGGAATTGAGGAACAAAGCTGAGGACAAAGAGGCCGATTTGCTGAGCAAAAATGGGCCGGATTGACGCATCAAACTTGGAGAGGAATATCTGTGGCCATCAGAGTATCTGAGCGAAGAGCGCAATCCCATCATTGTAAGTAACTCTGCATTCAACGACAGTGTCTTTGTGTCCCAATGAATGGAGTCTAACACTTTTGGCAGACGAATCTCCACAATACAGACGAGATGGAACGATTGGAGATACAGGAGAGCACCCCGGATCGGCATCAAAGTGTTGGAGGGAGGCAAATACAGAAAATGGTCATGGGTCCCCCACACGGTGGGATACTATGCGATGACATGGGACTTGGGAAGACGATCCAGGCGCTAATTGGTACGATGGGATTAAAGTTGGAAGGTCAACTGCAAGGTCCGATTCTGATCGTGGCGCCTCTTTCAACTTTGGCGCAATGGATCACGGAGTCTCAGCGCCATTTCAAACAGGTAAGACATCTTATAACGGCGCTGAAGTTGGCACAACAATACTAACTCTTCCCAGGGTTACAGACCGCGTATCTACATTCAAAAACACAACAAAACAGAGCCCATCACAAATTCTTGCCGGAGACTGGGATTTTGTGCTTGTCACCTACGAGTTCATCTTGGCTGAACAGCAAAGGAAAGAAAAATACGTAGCGAAACTGGAAGCGGAGCGGAAGCGACTGGAGAAGGATCCAAAAGCAAAACCCTTGGACATCCGCCGCCCCCATCTCACCATACTGTCCGAAGTTTACAGGGATATTGGACGTCCCTTTCCATTGCTCATCATTGATGAAGCACACAAGATCAAGAAGTGGGATGGCAAGAAGCGAGCTGCCATAAAGAGTGTTCCCTACGACCGTATCCTTATGCTCGACGGCACCCCCATGTCGAACAACTGGTTTGAGATCTTCGGCCTTATCGATCTCCTCCCTGACAGTCCATTTGAAGATTTGGACGAGTTCTGGCGCATCTTTGGCCCAAGGCGCGGTGGTCGTCTGAGAACACCAGAGGAAAGCCAGCAGAACCGCCTGGTGAAGTACCTGTTGTCGTTTACTGTTGGGCGGCCTAAATTGATACTTGGGCTTCCGGAGCTCGTCCGAAGAGACTTCAAATTCGAGCTCCGGCGACAGGCAGCAGAGGAGATGCTCGGCTACGTGGATAGTTTCTACCGAGCCGCTGGACGAGAGCACAACGTGGAAGATGTGATGGTGCACGCCACCAAGGCACAGCAAGCAGCAGCGCACCCAGCACTCATCAAGAGCAGAGGCGGCGCGCCAGACGCAGCTACTAGAGCGGGTATCGATCAGATCCATGCTCTTTACGCACAGCACCTCAAGTCCAATGTTAACATAGACGACCCTGGCTACACCAAAGAGCTTGTGGAATTCTTCAGTTCGCCGCTTGCCAGAAAGCAAATCCTCGCGGCGCAAGCTGAAAAAGGCCGCAAAGTTGCTCGAGAGAATCGAGAAGCAAAAGGTGCGACAGTTTCTACGGGAAACCAACAGCCGTCCAACAAAAAGCGTCGCCGTCTTGATGAACTGATAGAATGGGAAGATGACGAAGACTCGCTATTCGTACCTGAGACGCCCTCCATAGACGCTGTCCTTGTGGCCGGACTAGAAGAGTCTGAGCCGGAAGATGATCCTGAAAATGAAGAAGACCCTGACGACGAAGAGGACCCGAGAGTTGAAGCCGACCAGGAAATCAAGGACGACCCAGAACCCACTGCGACCACGACAAGCGCTTTCGTCAAAAAGGAAAACGACGCCGTCAAGAACGAGGGCACCACCGCTAAGAAGGCGAGTGAGAAGGCTCTGCGTGCCGGATGGAAAACGAGGGTACAAAAGAAGTCTGACCTGGAGCTCTACTCGGAGCGGGTGACGGCCTTCACTGACTGTTATGCGCAAATAACACAAGACCACAGCAAGGCTGCTTCAAAAGTCCTAGGTTGGAGCAAGTTCGTGTGGTTTCTCGACATCTTAGAGGAAGCGATGAAGCGAAAGCATCCACTAGTCCGGATCCTCCGCTTCGACGGATCGGTGCTCGCAGAAAATAGGGTGACAGTCTTGAAGAGTCTTGAAACATCTGATAGAGACACCCTTCTCTTACTCCAACCGGTCTCTGGAGGCAATGGATTGAATATCCAGTGCTCCAGTATAATGATACTAGCGGAGCCCGATTGGAATCGTCAAGAGAAAGAAAAGGTTGAAGCTCGATCACATCGTCGAGGTAATCCAAATACTGTTTACAGTTATAGCCTCTTCGCCGAGACTTCGGCCATCGATCAAGTCACCCGCGCGTCCACCATCAAAAAGTCCATCCTGATCAACAAATTCATGGGTAAGTTGCAGCGCACATTGGAGGTGTCACGCGGGTAGCACCTACCTGAGATGGAATTACCGGATTAGGCTAGTTATCACATGACTAACCCTCATCTCAACTACATTACGCGAGACTCTCTTTCTTACTTCTATTCCCTATCGTTTCGCACTGTAATATACTATAATCAAGTCTTATTTACTGCTACCACTCGACCCTTTGACAGGAGGATCCAGTAGAGATTCCAGATATTCCTAAAGAATTTACGGGCTTGCCTGCGGAGCATCTGCGCGAAAGGAGAGGTTGAGATGCTACTGGATGAGTATGGAGGTTTTGGCGGGTCAAATTGCTTTGGTTTTGAGAAATTGGAGAGATTGACTTGGGTGTATAGAGACTTACGTGGACAATTGGGCCTCCATATCACCAAATCATTTCCACAATCGCACATCTCGTTACATAGTAAGATCCGTGAGCGTGCATCAATACCCCCTCCATCGTTATCCCAAAAATAATCATTTCCAAGCACCGAAGTAATGCATCTAATCGTGTTTGTTAAAAATGGCGTATCTGACTCAGTTTACAAACAATGTATTATATTTAACACGCCAAGAAAATGCTTCGAATTCTGGAGAGATGGCCGAGTTGGTTATGGCGCCAGGTTAAGGTTTACCTTGACCCAAGATCCTGGTGGAGCAATCCGCGCGGGTTCGAGTCCCGTTCTCTTCAATAATTGATTTTTCTTTTTCGTATTTTATCATTTTTTTTTTTGGGTTTCCAAAGAATAACCTCTAAGAATAATTACTAATTTCTAATATATTCTTTAGTAGATTTTTCTCGCGCTTACGTTATCTAGTTGTATATTTCTTAGTTAGATATATAAACCTAGTAGCTACTAGTTTATAATAAAAAAAAACGGAATAGCGATACTAAGATAGAAGTAATTTAGAAATAACTCTACTAATACAATAATAAGATACTTAACTTCTAGATATAAGATAGCTTAATTAAGAAATTATATATACAACTTAATAAACTAATATAGAGAAGATATAAAATCTTACTATTTTAAGCGCTTTTCTTTCTATTCTTCTAGACCTAATAGCTTTCTTTTCTTTAAACCTCTCCGACTATTATAGCGAAGATTAAATAGGTTTAAGCCTTCTATATTAATATCTTATTAAGTAACTAAAATATAAATATAAAGTATAGTAAAGATTCTTAAGGAATCTTGCTCTAAATACTTTATAGAGATCTTAGTAATACGCTAGTAGTAGTATAGTTATAGTATAGCTAATATTAATTACGGGGTCGCGAGAAATACTTCGTAACGAGAAGACTTAATAATTAAATTACTATATATTTCTATCTCGTATTTTAATAATAATAATTACTAATTATTATAATTATTAATCTATTGTTCTTATATAATATAAATTAAAATAGGAAAATTACTATAATTTTAGTTATAGTAATAAGTATTTTACCTAAAGCTTAATAGTTATACTAAAGAGCTAATCCTAAATATAAAGCCTCTTACTTAGAAATCTAACTATTTAATAATAAAATAATTACAAGCTAGTATTAAAGACTCTAACTCTAAGATATAAAGTTATTCTATTTAGAGTATTAACCCTACCTATAATACAACCCTATCTATAATATAAGAAAATTAAATCTCGATATATAATAATACTACGCGACGCGTATACTTTATAGGCGCCTTATTAAAACTATCTAATAAATCCTTAGATACCTTATCTTCCTCCTTAGTAGAACTTTCAACTATAATTATCTTATATAAGCGCCTATATAGCTTCTTTACCTCCGCTCGCGCCTCCTTCTTATAGGCTATACGTAGTATATCTATAGTCCTATAGACTAAAATACTCTCTAATTATACCCTCTTTCCCTTTCTAGCCTTCTTTCGCTTCTAAAGAAGCCTAGCCTAATTAGATATCTACTTTACTTAAATTATAATTATTGTATTTTATATTTCGTAGAGACGGATTATACGCTCCGTATATTACTTTACTAGTAAAACGACTATAGGGTATTCGTGTAGCAACTTAGTAAATCTCTTATTTAATCGAGATAGTTTAATAGCTTCTAGAAGAGAGCTCTATAATAATAAAAGATCGAGTATAGTTATCGCGTATAGTATAATTAGTTAAGGAGCTAGTATAGGTAAGTCTTTAGGAAGGCTTCTAAGTACTCATATAAAAAGCATAGACTATAAGCCAGTACCACACTATCTACTAAGTATATTTTCCTTACTTATAGCCTTCTCGCGTGTATATAATAGTAATTCGATCTATTCTACGCGGGGGATATACTATAAACTAAGCCGGGAGATTATATATATTTCGATAGTATAGAACCGCTTAAACGCTATAAATACGACTATATTAAGCGGCTATAGTATATAAGAATAGTAAGAGGATATAATTAATAGATTAATCTTATTCTCTATATAGTAGGTAATAAAATCACCTTAAATATAGCTACTATACCTATCCGCGATAAGTAAATACTATTAACCTATAGCCTTCTTATAGGTAAGTAGCTTAAAGACTTTCTTTAGCTATACTAATCTAAGATTATTTAATATCTATCTATTTTTACTTATTATAAAATACTACCTTTAAGGTAATCGTTTATTAAGCTAGTATATATTTATATCCTAACCCTTAAATATTAGGAGTAGTACTAGCGCTTCGCCTATAGTACTAATATACTTAATAGTAGTTACCTATTCCTATTTACCTCTAACTATCTTATACTTCTAAGTATAGTTAAGGTATACGAGTATCTTTATCGCCTACTCCTCGCTAATACTAAATCTAGACCTATCTATATTATATATATCTAAAGGGTTATAGTAATACTTATTAAGTATCTATCCGACTACGTTAAACTAGTATTTTATATACTTATATAATACTCTCTCTATACGCGTATACTTAATCTAATAAGTATATATTCTATCTATTTTAGGATAGTATTTTTAAAAGCGTTAAATCTAATTAAATTTAATACGATCGAGTTCGGTAAGAGGGGGTACTAGGTAAGATATAGTTATAACGCGTATAGCTCGCAATTATAACGTAAGCTTAAGTAATAATAAGTTAGTAATATAGGTTCTAGTAATTATATATTACTTAATCTATCGGATAAAGGTATTATTAAAGGGTCGAGTAGTAGTAGTAAATAAGACTTAATTATAGTATATTATAGTACGAAATAATAGGAAATAGAAGTAAGAAAGAGAGTCTCGCGTAATATAGCTAAAATAAGGGCTAGTTATATAATAACTAGCTTAATCTAGTAATTCTATCTTAGATAGGTACTACCCGCGTAATAATTATCCCCTTTTTAGGAATTGACCGCCCTAGTTAAAAAAAATTAAGATTTAGGGTCTAAAGGCCTAGTAGTTAGTATAAGAATATATTTTTTAGCTAGAACTTTTATCTTCTATAAAAACTTTCTAACTTTAAGCTATTTATAAGTAAATCTAGTAGCGCTAGAAGAGCCCAGTCTAGGGTATCTTATAGGCATTTTAAGCGCAATCTAACTATTAATAGACTGCTCTAACTATTATCTATCTAACTATCTACCTTTTAATTAAGAAGACTAAGGATATACTTACTCTAGACCGATCTAGACTAAAATAATAGTAACCGGATACGCGAAGAGACGAATAGAATAGGCTATTAAGAATACTATTAAAACTAACTATATCTATACTTATTACCTTAACGTGTACTTAGTCTCCTTTAGTATACTAGATTTTAAGCTATACGCCTTTACCGTACCTATAACTACTAATAAAATAGAGATTATACTTATAGAGAACTTTAAGGCTATAGATTCTTCTAGTAAGTCCTATACTTATAATCGCTATACTAACTATATACTAAAATCGAACGCCTATTTTAAGGTAAGTCTAAGGTTTCGTATAGTATAGTACGGGTCGAGTTAGCGTATATCGGCTCCGTACTATAGTAGTACGGGACTATTACGGTATAGTAGTAGTACGGTATAAAAATTTCGGTAGCCCGCTCCCGATTTATTCGGTATCCCGATTTTATAGTAGTATTTATAGTAGTCTTAAATCGTTATAATTTTATATTTAAATAAGATTCTATTTAATTCCCTAACTACGTACGAAAATTAAATATATACGAGTTAAACCTTAGAGTTAACCCTAGCTCTCTTTTATAGAGAGGTAGAGGTAGTACTACGTATAGTAGTAGTCTTTTATATAACTACCTACGGAGCTCTACTAATACCTCGTCCTCTAGAAGGTAATAGAGTATCTACTCTACTCGATTAAGAACTAACCTAACTTTCTAAACTAACCCGACTTCCTAAAATAGACTAAGAACTAACCTAACTAATTATAGTATTATCCAGATTATTATCCAGATTATTATATCTATTAAAATCACTTACTAGATCCCCTATCTCCTTATTATTATCCTTATTATTAGAAAACTCTTCTATATTACTAATATTAACTATTCTTATCTACTCTATAACTTAGTTTAGTATATTATTATCTTCTTCCTCCTTAGCCTTAAATTCCTCCGGCGAGATTGCCTCAATATATATAAGAAGATAATATCCTCGCTTTATCTCCTAATTCTCTTTATACTATATATAGTAGTAAACTATTAAGGCCGCGAGAAGCTTAGTACTATACGTTTTATTATTAAGATTAAAGTTACCTATAATACTAAATTCTCACTTAATTCCAACCCTAATACCTTAAATAGTATAAATATTCTATACTATTAGCATAACATAAGGAAACCTCTTCTTATAAAGCCTCTAGTTATTAAGTAGCTTAGTTACCTACGTTAAAGTCCTATCTACGCTAAATTAGTAAAAGATACTACTATAAAAAC